CGCGCACGAGAAACGGGCCGCGCGCGGGCGGTTAGCGGGCTGCGCGCGCGAAAAACGGGCCGCGCGCGGGCGGCTAGCGGGCTGCGCACGGGCAGCGTGAGAGGGAGGGCGCGCGAGGGCGCACTAGCAGAGAGGCGCACGAGGGCGCGAGGAAGGTAGGGCGCACGAGGGCGCTTCTAGCGGAACGGTGGGCCCTTAGGAACAAGCGGTCCTAGGTTCCTAACCTAGGCTCGTAATACCATGTCAGAATCAACAAAGGATGAATGAACTAGAAAAGGGGTGGGTACAAGTAGCAAAACCTAACTTTGTTGTACCCCATAGTAACTACCCCACTACAGTCTAGACAACTGTAGAGTATATGTTTGACAATTGGTGGTGCACCTCTTGTTTGTGTTTCTCGACTATATCTTGTATGCTTTGCTTTCAGTGAAGCTCACTTGTTTGGTCAACATTCTTGCTACTCCCTTAACCTTGACCCTCGTCACCCGCTTGGCCTAGGCTTCTAAGCCTAGGCCCTAGTTAAACCCGTTTCTAGTTAAGTCAGAGTTGTAACTAATTCAACTTCAAAGGGGTGGGTAGTCGAGTACAGGTAGTAGGCGGCTGTTGAGTATGCTCCATGGGTGGTGTGGAGTTATGTATACAGGAGAATAAGCCTAAGAGGATGCGCGAGGAGGAGCCGCGACTAGTAAATAGGTCGTCAGCCAGTCGTTGACCAGTACGGATAATTCACACCTCGCTCATATCAATAAATCATTCGCGTGCATAATTCAATTACGTGCATAATCCGCTTGAATCTGGAGTTGGGATAATGAAATCCTCCAGCCAATCGCTCTACCCAAGGTTCCATATCCGTTGGTGTGCACAGGGTAATGTCACGCAAAATCGTTTTCATACGTGTACGTGAATTCAAGCCTAAGGGGAAGTGCGAGGACGAGCCGACCAGTAAGGTGAATGGCTCGTCAACCAGTTAGTGACGTCTGTACGCGTAATTCGCACACCTTCCTTCCTATACGCTGGAATGGCGATAATTCAACGCGGCCTAGGAGAAAGGCAATAATCTGACGAAGGCTTAGGAGATAAGTAACTATCGAGAGGGGGAATATGGAGATGCAATAATGCAATCTCCCGCCACTCGCTCCACCAATGGCCATTCATATCCATTCGTGTGGAGTGGACAGCGAAAGACAAAGCGATTTCTTTTGTTACAGGACACGCATTCGTCCGGCGAGTTGCTTTCGTGAGTTGCGACGAAGGAGGTGGGGAAAAAAATATATCAAACCCCACAGAACCAAACGAAACCGAGCCGGACATGGGCGTTGAAGGTTGTGCTAATTCCCGCGCGTCGCATTGTTTGTTCCAGACGCCTCGTCAGAAATACCGCACCGCACAATCCACTGACCTTTGAATTTCGTAATACCAGAGTTTGATGTCCGAACCGAACTGAACCGAACTGGTCTCATTGCCGATCACAAGTGCAAACTGGCGGTGGCTATGGCCCTACTTAACTTCACGCTCCTCCCTCCCTGACTGACAGACAATCACCACCACCTGTCGAGCTTGTTAGATGAGCATTTCTCCCCTCCGTCAGTTGCGTTCCGCGGTATCAAACAAGCGAGTCTAATCAAGTAGGGCCACGCGCTCCGTTCCGTCATCCTCTTTCAACGGCTTCGCGGGCCGGGGCACAGGCCCTGGCATAGCTAGCAAAGCTCCTCTTGCGTTACACTGAGCAGCAGGCCTTCATGTTTGTTGAAAGTGGGCCGAACATATAAATGTTAGTATCGTTGACCAGCCACGTCGCTGTTCACGTGCCCATCTGGGTCCAATAGCGCTCTGCGATAAGCGTTGACCAGACTCGCTCAACAGCTGGTTGTCGGAGTAGAAATCGCCGAAGCAAGGGAGTTTCACAGCTGATTAACTATCCGCCAACGGGTAGCTTCCGTGATTATAGTAGACACCTATCGTAGCCATGCGCGGAGCGCGTAGTAACTGCCTACCCCACCTTTACTCTCTTAATAACACTTTGCTAAGGCGGTACTAGTACATATCCGAATTCAGCTGTAAATTCCTTGGGCGTTTGTTCATCTTGAAGTACCTGACCGCTCGTACGCTGCGGAGGGTCACTCGACAAAGTAGTGAGATAGACTACGGGGGGGTTGGCACGAACTACTAGGAGTGATCGTAGCTTTGCTTAGTTCCTTAGCGCTTGCACGCTCACGGGAGAAATCGGCAAGAGTTTCCACTAGCAAAGTTTGGATTACTGAATTAATCAACAAGCAATGACAACAATGACTACATCAGGCACCTAACAACTCTGCAGCTAGCCTGGTCGACCGCCAGCACAGCTTGGTCGACCGCCTGCCAGCGTTGCGTAGAGGAGCCGTGCCAGCACTGCAGAAAGGTGACCTGCCAACATAGCAGGTCGACGGCGTGCCAACGCTGCAGCAGAGCGGCTGTCCAGCATTGCCCCGTAGAAGACAGCATTGCGCAGGCTCGCACGTGCGCGCAGTCGATTGGCCCGACTCGCCTCGTTGTGCATCCGTTGAATGTTGTCTGCGCCTGACGAGCCACATCGACTTTGGGATACCAGCCCGAATTCGCCTTCGCCCTCGCGACCTCGACGACGTTCGCGTGCCTCAGCAGAACCCGTCGAGCAGGTTACCCGGTCGACCTGGACACCACCAGGTGCTCCGGTCGACCACCAGGTGCCTCTGGTCGACCACCAAGTGCCTCTGGTCGACCACCAAGTGCCATTGGTCGACCACAGCTCCCGTCAAGCTACCCCCTGGTCGACGGACCCCTCCGTCGACCAGAACTGTCAGCGGTTGTCGCCGAGCTCCCATCGTCGACCGCTGCTCACATGTCAGGTCGACGGACTGCTCCGTCGACCTCCCTATCGAACTGCTCCTCCTGGTCGAAGGCCCACCCGTCGACCAGCCCAGTCAGCTGCAACCGTCGAGCACTCCTGGTCGACGGCAACACCACAGTGATCCCTGCAGCTCGACGAATCCCGTCGAGCAGCTCCCTCACTGTGAACAGTCAGCTGCGTCTCACGTGCACCCGACCAGGACGTTGGCGTCGCCCAAGCGAGGGCGGGGCCAACACTTCATTCATGTTAACATACGCAACGTCGACCCTTTGCGAAGATCCCCTGCATCGAGATTTCGATAACTACGTTAATTAGCGTGAGTAAGATGAGACGCTTGGAGGCGCATTGAACTAGCAGCGCTTCGTCGTTACTTGGCATTTCTCTGCCGCTCTGAGAGCCGCACTGCCGTCATTCCTGCTCGAACAAGAAGAGTAGTAGAAACGCAGCTTACAAGCACTCGCATAGAAGCGAGAGATCCAATATCAGTGAGCCAATATTGTTCGTTCAAGCACGCGAGCTGCGCGGACAGAGGATTTGGAGAATTTCGGTAGAGAAGTGGCGTTGCGGCCACCATACGCGCCGCCCCTCGCATTACCGTTACAAGTACCCCGGAACTAGTACGAATTCACTGCCCACTGCTGGTTTTAGAGTCCGAGGAGCTCTATATCGAGTGCAGCCAGTGAAGGACGACAGCGATTGCCTCCAGGAAAACAATCACCGAGAAGGTCGCAGAATGCAGCACGGCGCCGTTGCCGCTCACCCAGACTTGGCGTAGTGGTACCACTGAGGTGGTTGCAGGCTCTGGTAGTGAGGTGGCTTATAATGAGGTCCTTCGCGGATGGAATCAGATTTAGGTTGTCACGAGTGGATGGGGTATGACGAGCTGGCTCGGCGAACGCCTGCTGCGCCTGCTCGTTGTGATGATAGCAGCGGAGGCCTGGTGGCGACATTTAGTGTCTGCTCAATTGGTGCACGAGTCGCAACGTACGCTTCCTCTGCTCCTTGCCTCCACCCCCTTCCTGCCGTCCTCCGCGCACTGCGGCTTCTCCCGCGCGCTGCTTTTCTTCCGCGCAAAACTCTTTCTTCCGCGCGCTGCTTTCGGCTCTTCCGCGCCGCCCTCCTCCACGTAGGCCTGTCCCTCTCCCCACGCCTTCCCCCTTCGAGCTATCTCCGCCACCTTATTTCCCCTCCCATTCAATTATCACAAGAACACCGGAGTCCCTTGGGATAGCGCTCACTGGGGTATCCGCATGGAAACCCTTGCCCCTCACCTTGAACCAGGGGTGGGATTTTGCACGGGCCTTTTCTTTGCGTAACTTACGCCCCTCCCCCCTTTTTCTCCGACAACCCCCTTTCCCCGACCCCACCCACGACCTCTCTACACTGTCCTGAAATTCAAGACACAAGTGCAGTTACCGTGGTGGGAAGAGCTTTCTTTTGAGTCGACTCAAAACGAGCTGACTTTTGAGTCGACTCAAAACCCGACCCCACCCACAACCTCTCTACACTGTCCTGAAATTCAAGATAAAAAGTGCAGTAACCGTGGTGGGAAGAGCAAGTGCGTGTGTGCACCTGGGTTCACCACTGCCAGGAACATCGATGGGTCTGAGACATGCATTCCAGGTGAGTTTGATACGACTCGAAATACAAGTGCAGCAATCGTGATGGGATGGGAAGAGCAAGTGCACGTGTGCACCTGGGTTCACCACTGCCAGGAACATCGATGGGTCTGAGACATGCATTCCGGGTGAGCATGAAGATTGAATCATTGCAGTAGGTTAGGTCTCACAACCCACAATCTTCCCCTCTCTGCCCCCGCCTCTCTAGCAAGTGCACGTGTGCCCCTGGGTTCACCACTTCCAAGAATATCGACGGGTCTGAGACATGCATTCCAGGTAAGTTTCGGATCGACTCGTAATGGTAGGTCAGGTCACGTCACACAACCCACAGTCCCCGCCTCTCTAGCAAGTGTGTGCATGCACCCGGGTTCACCACTGCTAAGAACATCGATGGATCCGAGACATGCATTCCAGGTAATTTTCTAATCGGCTCTCGACGGTAGGTTATGTCACACAACCCACAGTCCCCACCTCTCTAGCAAGCGTGCGTGTGTGCACCTGGGTTCACCAATGCCATGAACATTTGTGGATCCAAGACATGCATTCCAGGTGAGCATGAAGAAAACGGTAGGTTAAACGACACAATCCACAATTTTTTTATTGTACAAATATCTCTCCCCCCAACTCAGCTCCCCCTTTCCCACACCATGCTGGTACACTTGTGCATCAATTAGAATATGCCAGCATTCAATCTCTCTCTCAGAGAAAAAATAAGCACTGAACTTCCTTGGCATTTCTACCTGGCTTCCTTCAAAGTTCCCCTGTCGACGATCTTCCATTTCCCCCTTTTACCTGCTTCCCCCCCACCCATTCCTCCCCTCTGCCAGTCCGCGTGTGCGCCATGTCAGCAGCCAACCCGTTCCAGGTTGGCACATGTCTGGATGACGGAGCGGGCGGCTACAACTGCCTGTGTCCTGCGGGGTTCGTGGCGGATGAACGACCCGATGAAACCCCCGTCTGCGTGCCAGGTAGGTACTATGTATAGCTAGGCCAGAAACCCCCCTGTGCGTGCCTGCCAGGTGACGCTAGGCCTGGATGGTAGGGAGTGAGGCTACAACTGCTTGTGTCTGCCGGGGTTCGTGGCGGACGAGCGATCCGATGAAACCCCTGTGTGCGTGCCAGGTGGGTGCTGCTCGCTTCTTCTCACTGTGCAAAACCGTACTATGTAAAGCTAGGCCTGGAATTTCTCTGTGCGTGACAGGGAAAGCTAGGCCTGGATGACGCGGCGGGCGGCTACAACTGCCTGTGTCCGCCGGGCTTCGTGGCAGACGAACGGCCTAATGAAACCCCTGTCAGCGTGCCGGGTAAAACTAGGCATAAAACCCCCTCTGTCGGCTCGTTTCTTCTCCTCACCGCGCTAAATGCTACCATGTAAATAAAGCGCTGGAAAGCATGTACCCGTGCGGCTGAAACACCCACCCTTTCGCAAGACGTCCCTCGTCCTCACCTCGCCTCTCTGCCCACACCTCTCTTTGTGCATTTGAACTGTGTCAGAATTGAACCGGCTCAAGGCATGCGTGAGAGCATGGGTGCTCAAGGCATGTGTGATAGCATGGGTGCTCAAGGCATGTGTGAGAGCATGGGTGCTCAAGGCATGTGTGAGAGCATGGGTGCTCATGGCATGTGAGAGCATGGCTGGAAGAAGACATAACCTTCTGCTTTTCGTGGTCTCTGCAATCTGTATCAACGTCTGCTGCTTTCTCATTGTAGTGATTGAACTGTTTTTGCTGTGCATGCAGGTGTGCGTCGCGCATGGCACTCCAGACATGCCAGCGTGCCAGGAGTTTGTGACTGTAGCGGAGGGCGACAGCTGCGACACAATAATGAGGGCTGCACGTCCGCCTCTGAGCGCACAGGATTTCTACACGTTGAACCCAGGGATCAACTGCAACGTGGGCGAGCAGATACTGCTGGGCCAACATGTAAGAATTGCGTGTATTGTGAGGAGTATTGAGGCGAATCAAGAGTTCTACACGTTGAACCCAGGGATCAACCTCATCGTGGGAGAGCAGATGCTGCTAGGCCAACAGGTATGCTACAGGAGGGCTTCCCAGTGGCATTCTCAACCACCTTTGCTGTCTTCTTCCAGGGTGCCACTGGCATGGGTTCAGTTCTGCCACATTTCTGCTACTCATTTCTGTTACTCGTTACTGCTACTCATTACTCCTGGCCTTGTGTTGCATGCACACCAGTTACGAACACATCCTCTTCCCCAGCCTCCCTCTCGTCCTCCCTGCTTTCCACTTTTACTCTGCATATCTGGCCTTCCAGCTCTGTTCTGCCATTTGTGGCCATTTCTTTGCTGACTCATGTACTGTTTTTATCAGCAAACAGCTCCTTCCACTCTTCCAACCCCATCCCCTTCCCATCATTTCCCCCCATCCCCGATTTCCCCCATTTCCCCCCATTCCACATTCTCCGTGTGGAGGGTGTGTGGGTGCGGTGGGTAAACAATATTTGAGCCAACTCTTTCCTGTCCCCCATCCCACTTTCTCTGTGTGCAGGTGTGTGTGCGTGGTGGGAAATCAAGCTTGCTACTCGGAGCTACTCGGTGTGTAACAAACCTGCAGTACACGGTAGTGACGGGAGACACATGTGCTCGCACCATTGCTCTATACTTCAAGAGCTCATCACAATTATTGGCTCAATACAACACGGGTTATGTGTGTACAAACAGCCGCTTGTACAAGGGCATGCGCCTGTGCAAGCCACCTTAAAATTATCTGCAATACTTTTGTACCAAACAAAATGTCAAGTAGTGCACTTATAGTTGGCTCCAAACATAACTTGAATGCCTCACATTAGATTCGATGTATGCACCATGAATTCTGCAGCCAAGTCTGTTCCAAAGTCGAGGTCCTCGCTATTCCCCACTGTTAGGTTCGGCCTAGCCAGACGAGCCTTGGCGTCCGCATACGTCTGGTTCGTCCCCAGGCCTAACGACAGAACTGGCTGGGACATCAAGCAGAGCAGGGGGACGAATCGGAGGGCAAAGAAGGCAGACTGGCGCACATGGCAGCTGATGTTTGCCGAGGTTGGCGGAAAGGCCTCGTGCGGAAAGAACTATAGCGCAAGGCAACCCAACCCAACCCACCCACACCCTGGAGAGCCTCCTCCCCAGAGAGCCGCAGCATACTCTCATCCCATCTCATCTCGGAGCAGCAAATGGCTGGGGGAGACTCCTCTCGTTAGTAAAGACTGCTCTGTAGACTGCGCTATGTAGACTGCTCGAAATCTGAACTACATAGCTGGCCTCCTTGAGCGTCCAGAAATTCGTCGAGCTGCATGTAGAGCTGAACTGCGCGCTGCGATGTAGTCAAGCCACGTGCAGATTCGAAGTAGCTGCTGCTGTGAAAGCACCTGGCTAGCTGAGTGAGCATGCTGGCTGCAGCGCACTCATTCTGCGGCAGCGACCCGGCGTCGTGCTGCTCGAGGTGAGTGGTCGACTTCACGCGGTCGCAGCAACGGTAGCTTCTAGCTGGGGGTCGTGATGGTCAGGAAGAACACAAGTGACCTTATCTATCGATATGAAGATTAGTTTTATGAGTTCTTCTGGATCTGCTTCTCTTCTTGAATTTTGAGCCCTTCTACCAAAGCCGCTCCTTTGTTTCCATCCTTAGTCCGCGTCCAGATTAGTACTAACTGCTCGATCCTGCAGTATGGAGTCCGCACATATAAACTCTTTTCCGACCCATCTCCTTGTGAAGATCTTATGTCATACCAGTCAGCCGATAGTAGGCGAATCTGATAGCGAGGAGTATAAGTGCTTGAGTCCATGGCCCAATTTCGTTGGTGCGTATCGGTCTGAGAAGAGCATCTCTCCCATACAAGCACCTCCTGCTTACTCAGATACCGCGTGGAATCTTCTCATCGCTTCCGTCTGCCGTGACTGGCGTCTTCTGTCAGAATGTTATCTTATGCTCTAGCCTGTAGTGGGGTGCTCTATAGCGAGTACAACCCTTCTAGGGTTTGCTATTTGTATCCTCATTCTTGCTAGTGCAACCCTCTCTTCTTTCTTCTAAACTTTAAACATGCTATCAGAGCAGGTCGATCCCCTTGGATCGATCCTGTGGGTGGGCTTACCACGTCCTAGCTTCCGCTGCAACTCCTACCACTACACTCGGTGCCGCACGCCCCGTGGCGTGTGGCAGTTTTCTTCCCGCCGTGCGCCCCGAGGCGCGCGGCGGTTTTCTTCCCGCCGTGCGCCCCGAGGCGCGCGGCGGTTCTCTGCCCGCTGTGCGCCCCGAGGCGCGCGGCGGGCTTCGGCCCCGTCAACCGTCGCGTCGCCCTCGGGAGGCGCCGCGACGGGCGACGGGGACCCGTTCGTCGCCCCCCGTCGCCCGTCGTGGCCTGCGCGCGGCCCGTACAGGCAGCGCGCGACCCGTACGGGCTGCGCCAGGCCCGCGCGCGACCCGTACGGGCTGCGCCAGGCCCGCGCGCCACCCGTACGGGCTGCACCAGGCCCGCGCGCGGCCCGTACGGGCGGCGCCAGGCCCGCGCGCGGCTCAGGCCGCCTACGCGCGGTTCGGGCGACCCTACCAGGCCCGTGGTGGGCCCGCTCCTTGCTGCCCCTGCCCTCCCTACTGTCCCCCAGCGCTTCTACTCGTGCCCCACCCCTCCTACTCCCCATTCTCCTGTATTAGGGTTTGGGGGTGCGGGGTATGGGGGTGCACCCACTGTGTACTGTTCCCTGCTCCTCCTCCTCCTCCGTCTCCCTGTGCTGCAGCTGCCGCTGAGGGGGGGTGGACGTGTTGGAGCCGGTGGAGTGGTACTAAGGGGGGGTGAAGGGGGAGTGGAGCTAGCGGTGTAGCAGCGGGTATGTGCCAGGGGGGAGTGGGATAGTTTGGGGAAGCTGAATGGAGGTTGCCGTCGTGTCGCCAGCAGCACCTGTATTCCGGGGACTTCGTCCGGTAGCCCAGTCGTAGCCAGCTGTGCCAGCCGCCCGTGGGTCCGTTGCTCGTCTGCCGCTACTTTAGCCGCGGGGCCTGTTACTCCTGTATTCCGGGGACTTCGTCCGGTAGCCGCTGTGCCAGTCTGCCTCCTGTTGCCTGTGTGTCTGCAGCTTCAGCCGTCGCCTCCTATCTCCTCTCCTCTCACTCTCTCTCCTCCTCCTCACTTGCCCGTTGTGACTACCACTAGCTTTGCTCATAATTGTGAACTTAAACTATTGCTTCTTGAACTTGTGCTCAGAATGTGTGGTGACATTGTGATCCACCCTGAGCTTGTACTCCTTTGCTTACTCTGCTGATTACACCCCACTTTGGCTATGGGGGTGTGTCAGAATGTTATCTTATGCTCTAGCCTGTAGTGGGGTGCTCTATAGCGAGTACAACCCTTCTAGGGTTTGCTATTTGTATCCTCATTCTTGCTAGTGCAACCCTCTCTTCTTTCTTCTAAACTTTAACATCTTCTTGCTCGGCGCCACGTCAGCAACCTTTCTGTCAAAGAGGATCGCGTCGTTTCTCGTCAAGATCTCGCCAACGCCATTAGTTGTTTCCCGAACCTGACCCATCTCCACTTGAACGACGGCAGCGTGGAGACCGTCGACGACGCCCTCCTCGCTCACCTCGCCTCCACTTGCCCTAAGCTCAAGGCGCTGCACGTGGGAAGCAGGATCAACCTATTTGACTACGAGACTGCTGCTGTCGCCGAAGAATTTGAAGATCGGCATTCAATAACTGATGATCGACATCCATTAACTGAAGCTGGTTTGGATCAGCTCTTCAGGCGGTGCACATGAATCGAGCAGCTTTCGCTCTTCTGCCTCCACCGAGACGTCAAGCTGCCTCCTTCGTTCCTCCAACTAACTCGCATGCGTTCCCTTGTACTAACAGACTCTTCTGTTTTAGAAGCTCCTGGTTTTGCTGGTTTCTGTTCTCTCTCCACTCTCGTCATAGCCGCACAAAACCTTAGTACTTGGCAATTCTTAGGTTTCTGTTCTCTCTCCACTCTCGTCGACTCCGAAACCTTTCCAGTCTTTCCATAACTAATGACACCATTTCCAATGTCTCTCGTTATTCTCCATCTCTACAGCTACCCTGTCTGACGTCGCTGCAGGTCAGATGCGCTGGCCAATAATTTTACGAATTGTTTCCTTCAGGCTCACCGGGCACTAATCTTCAACGGTTGGAGATTGGCGAGATTGGCTGGGTCCACTCTCGTAAGATTCTCCGCACTAACATTGCAGATATGATGCCGGGTCTGCGGGAGCTGAACATTTTTTGCTGCAACAACTTTTCTAAGCTGCCAAAGGAACTGACCTCCCTCAGACAGTTGGAGAGCTTGCACATTGCTTTTTGCTCTCAGCTTTCCAGCCTTCCACAAAACTTTGGAGAGCTGTCGGCTCTCAAACGGTTGGAGCTGAACTCGTTGCATCTCACAGACCTCCCTGACTCCCTCTGCCAACTCACATCCCTGGAATTCCTCTCCCTCCTCAATTGCCAATGGCTCATTGAGCTGTATCTGGGACCCTCGCAGCTGCTGATGTTTCCAGATGATATCGGAAGGCTGAGCAATGTGAAAACACTTCTTCTTCAAGAGAATCGTGAGGTGCAACAGCTGCTCCCATCTTCCTTCACGGAGCTCTCCTCCCTAACGCATCTTGAGATTGGTCGCTCCAAGATTGTAGAACTTCCTGAGGACATAGGGATGCTGAGTAACCTGAAGCACCTGCACTTTGGCTCCTACTCTAATCTCACTCGTCTTCCAGCCTCCCTCTCATGCCTCACTGGATTGGAGATCCTAGTGGTTGATGGATGCGACCGGCTCTCTTCAGTCCCAAGGCTGGATGGTTGCACCAGGCTGAAGCGGATGGAGCTGATTCTTTGCACACGGCTGGCTGAACCACCTGCATCACTCCCTCCCTCCCTGGAGATCTTAGCCATGCCGAGTGACAACCAGCTCGCTCCTCGAGTCGACATGCCCGACCTGCCACACCTGAGGAATCTCACGCTCAGTAAGGTTGATGCTGGAAGCAGCCTGGCAGCTGCCATGGGTGCATCGCGTCTGAGGCAGCTGAATCTGGAACTTGTGGATGAAGGTGAGGATTTCCCCTCACCCTTTCCTGTCCTGCCGCATCTCCACACCTTGCTGATCTGGGGAGTTGTGAAGTATCCTGATGCTTATACTGGGAAGCTGACAAGGCTACCCGACAGCATCGGATCGTCTTTGCCGCAGCTGCGGAGACTGCAAGTTAAGAATTCATGTTTGAGAGAGCTTCCAGCAAGCGTGTGTGAGCTGCAGTGTTTGACGTCGTTGGAGATCATAACATCCAGTCTCCTACCAACTCTCCCTGCCTGCATCAGTGCACTGACTCGGCTGCGCAAGCTGGAGGTGCGCGGTTGCAAGGCCCTGCAGTAGCTGCCTGCTTCCGTCACCCAGCTCACATGCCTGCAGGATCTGGATGTTTCATACACCGGCATTCTCTCCCTCCCTTCCGGATTTGGGAGTCTGACCAGGCTGAGGCGTCTCAATCTGAACAGTTGTGGGGATTTGGAAGCTCTGCCGGAGGACTTGACAGAGCTGAGGATGCTGCGCTACTTGGGTGTGCAAGATTGCAGTCACGTGAAAGATAGTAGAGGAGACTTGGTTCAAGCTCATGACATTTACAGGATGTATGGGCTGGAGATAAGTTTTGAATGCACGGATCCAGAAGAGGATTTGTAACAAAGTTTGTCATGAAGTTTGGTTGGTAGGTTTTGTTTTGCTATTATCTCTC